GAACTAAGGTACTACTTTTATAGACCTAATTATAACCTTTAATATGCTACATCCATTCCTGTCATTAACTAGGAATACATGATCGCACAGACTGATAAGTGTAAATATATTTACTAGATGGATTTTACAGCAATATTAACGCACCTGCTGTACTAATTAAAAAAAATTAACCAAGCAATCTGATAACGTAATTGCAAATATAGCAAAAGCTGTATATGTCATATTTAATTATAGTATTCAGTATTTTTATTCCAACATCCTTGCCACTTGCCAATGTTATCTATCGACTAAAGCTAGGCAATGTCGAAGGACGATAATAATGGTTTCATTCGGCTCATTAAATCACTGCCTATCAAAGGATCAAGAGGGAAATTTCCCCTAACAAGAAATTCTTCCATTAGTAATGTTTTTTAGTACTGCATTTTTTATTTCAAAAACGACATTACGTTACATTTTTCTGTCAAATTAAGCAAAGAACTAGAAAATAACTCTTCGATGTCAAAATTACAATAATACACAGTACAATTTAAAATTCAATTTTGTTACATTTGCGAACTCAACATTAAAAAGAAGCATTCTATAAATATCACTCAAGACAGCGTTAGTTTAAAATTACTTGAGAAAGTTTATCTTCTCGATATTAGTTGGTGACTTTATGAAATTAAAAAGTTTCCTTTGACACTGACGCAGGAGGCTTCATGGCCAGGTTATGTTAGGGTCGCGTGGTGGAATGCACTTTACCAACTCATCACAAATAAAAGATTCGGATTTTCTAAAGCACTATTATTTTTTAAACAGATTCATAAAGTAAAAAGTTTTACTTTTCATCACATTAAAAAAATTGCATGAACCTTAGAAACGTCTTGTCCATGTCTTGTGGTATTTTATCCTAACTTGATCATAATCAAAACAAAAGCGTCCATCCCAAGCGAAACCTGAAGAGACAAAGGTGTTTTAAATACATAATAAAGCAAAATAAATTTCCCGTTAATAAATAGGTACCTTCACTTAAGTATTTCAAAAAGCTTCGCAGAGTGAAATTTCAATTAAGCAGGTCGGAGGCGAGGCGATAGGCATCTGGTACACAATGGCCGCTCCATCCGGCCACCAATTAGCTCGCCCCTTAAACAATTTGCTCCCACTGCTCAGGACTTGTCTACACGAATCGCCTCAACTGTCACCTTGTGCTGAATAATCCTTTAAATAGCTGTAAACAATTTTACAAATCTCTATTTACATTTTATTATTTATATTACATCGAAATTATATAACAACTATTGGAATTCTAAAATAAATAACATCGTTATCTACATCTGATTTTTTTCTACTCTCCCTTCCTCGTCAGCGAAAGTTTAACCGATATTAATTATAAAACAAAAAGTTATATCGTAAAAAATAACCATTGCCGCGTAATGTTTCGATGTAGAAAGCGAATCAAAAATAGTATTTATCTTTTGCTCGACCACTCGGTCATTTGAAGATAAACGCTGATGTGGTCTTTTACTTAAACTTTTCAAGTATCCAATTTTTATATTTGGACTGAAACACAAACGCCAGCAATTAATAGCCTCGGAAATGTCGTTCTTCTTATAAAATATCATAGAAAGCTTGTAATGTTTTTCTTTACAAAAGTCGATAGAAAACCCCTTGACCAAATTTGGTGAAGTTGACATAATTCGCTAAAACCTTTAATTAAAACTAATTAACCAAAAATATACCATCAATAAATTATTAAAGAAAAAGTTCTGAGAATTTTATTATTAGTCGGTATCTTTGTTTGATTGCCTTGTCTAATTTAAATAACAAAAGTCAGAGGATATGAATAAATTAGAGGCCAAGTTACGGGCCGTGCGGACCGCGATCAATTTCATTGATAAGCCTAATGTTTATAGGACACGGTTATTACTTTCCATTAGGCTCGGCGTCATGTTATTTGTCTATGATAAAAAAACAAACTAAACACCATTAAGAAAGGATGCCAAGTCAAACGCATTTAACCTTTACCAGGTTAAACTTATTAAATTCTCTTCTTTAAAGTAGATATTCCCGAAACCTTATAAATTAATTTGAATGAAAGGTTTACAGGTTAATTATTTAACAATCATAATAATTGAGGCAAGAATGTCATTCTTTAAAACTACATAATATGTTGAATTAAGAATGATAACAGGTTATTGAGGCATTTAGCCGTCTAGTGATCTACGTTACATCTCAACCAGTATTTTCACATATAAAGAAACGAGTTTTATTCATAAAAATCTCAGATTTAAATAAAACTTAAACTCGTTTATATATATAATATTAATTTATTATTGTACTAGGATATCAGAAGTTGTAAGCAATAATGTCCAGATTAAGGTTTCCCTATGCCCCCGTATTAACGGTACTATGACGCACTAGCGCCGCGCGGAACAATACAGCACTACAATAGTGACGTCAACGTCGTCGAGACTTTGAATACAGTGTGCTCTGTTTCTTTTATAGTTCTATTAAGTTTATTGTTACGTCGTGTAAAGAGGATCTTTATATCAAGCGTAAAGCAATGAAGTAAACTTGTATTATAGAATAATTGAAACATCTTTCTTATAATAGTTTGTACACGATTCATTTCTATTCATAACAAAGTAAGCACCTTTTGTTGTATGTTCGCAAGCAAATTTAACATTACTGCAAGTATAATTATTATGACTACAACTAGAATTAAGTAAGAAATCAAAGTAAGATATATGTATCTTTATTTAAGGACAAGCTGTCGAACGCAACACCGGTCGTGCGGAATTTTAAAAAAACATAATTAGTAGACTGTGTGTTATTACAGACTATGTTCTATATGTATGCAAAATTTTATCGAGATCCGTTCCGGATTTCTGGAGATATTTTCAAACATACATCCATCCGTTCATCCATACATCCACCTAAACATTTGCATTTATAATATCAGTAAGAAGTAAGATTATAAACATTAAGATACAACATTATTTACCATATATTCATATCTCGATTAATTCTTATTAAAATAAATACTACTTTCTTTGCTTTCAAGAGACAAATAGTTAATTGTAAAGGTTTTTATAGCGTCCACCAGAAAAAAGATATGGGTACGCAATACATACGGCAAAATCAGTCTTAGTACGTATGTATGTAGACCATTTTGTACAAAGTAAGGTTAACAAACCAGTGCTCAATTCACTTATTATGCCTCGGTACTTTTATGGGTCAGCGGTTGCCTTCACTAACAATAAAATACAAAAGCAGTAGGCTGCTATTTTATGTAGATCTGTTACAACTAGTTTTTGGATATTTGAACTTTGTTTGCTCTTTCCGCCCATTACGATCCATAAAGATTTTTTTTTTGAGAAAATTGATTTTTATAATAGTTTTCTTTTTTTTTTCTTTGACTGTTTCAGAGAAAATCCCCGTTTAAAACATATTATCTCAGTATACACAAAGATTTTGGTCTCAGAAATGAACGATTAATTAACAAGTAACTAGAATGAATAAATCTTAATATGTCAATTTATCCGTTAGCTGGTCGTAATAATACGAAGAAACTTACATCACAACGCACGAAGTCATAAACTAAACTTTTTGAATATCACACAGGGAACGGAATTGCGAAAAACAAGACTATATTTTAAGTATTGAAATAATTTTATATACATAAAAATATATTTATCTGTAACGTAAGCTGAGGGCTAAATAATAATCGATAGTTATTGATGCTAAGGCTCGCGCTTGCCAGCGTTGCCATTGTTTGAAAGTGGGTATAAAGTGTTTGCGCAATCGGAAGTGGTCGACGCACTATCAACGCGCTGCTTGCGGTCTAATATCAACTGAACATTATCTTCAATTTTATTATGCTCTATTTAATTACACATTAAAAATAAACAGTTTTGTGACTTAATGTATAGGTTTGTCTAATGGTTAGATGCTTTGACCTTTAAGAGACAGGACCAGACTGGTTAAGCGCGCCCACTTCTCTCTATTTTCCTCGATCTTCCTCTATCAAGTAAAATTGAACATTAGCATGCTTGTGTGCTCGTTTTGCGTAAATGTGTAAATGTTTAAGTCAATTTGCGTTTTTAATAGATCAATAGTTAGCAGATTTACGTAAGTATTCGACTTCTGTTCGTTTCTAACGTTTCTTATTCAAGTTTTAGGATCATAACAAAAGTATAAGATTGATAAATATGGGCAGAATTTTTGAGAAAGTACATAAAATATAACGATAAGTATGCTTAGATAGAGTATGCTTGTAAAAAAAAACTTCTTCACAAAATTCGATATGCGTAACTTTTTCTCACATTTGTAGGTGTTAATATCAAATGTTATTGTAACTTTTCCTTTATAATGTACACAAAAACTTCAATAACAATATACTTTTGACGTATAAATTAACTTAAAAACCATTCAATCAATTTATAAACGTCTATCACTTTTTTTGTTGAAAGTAAAATATATCAATATAGTATTATTACTATGGCAATTATTATAAAACATGCATATATTAATTTACGTTGAAAAAATAAAAGTAAAATACTTGGGCATCTAATTGAATATTGTACAGTACTTCGTAGTTTTTGAATTGGAGTACATTCGAATGAAGTAGTCATAAGTAGGTTGCGTAGGCGACCGCTGAGAGCCGAGGCCCGCGTAACGAGTGGCGCCGACCGTCCACTTATGCATATGCCGACAGAATGAAATTTTCCCCAATTTGTGAGGCAACTAGTTTCCAGCAAATGTCGGAAACTAGCCTGGAATCGTGCCAGCTACCCCCAAATCATTTAAATTACACTTATACTCTTCATCTACCCTACCCAGCAAGTCTCTTTTAATTGAATGGGTGAAAACTTAAAGACATTGCAAACGATCTGTTAACAAATAATTGAAGAATTGTAACATATAACGTAAAAAAATTAATTCGAGCGAGCCTTACAACGAATTCGGATTGATAGATTTCACTTGCCACATTTTCAATGATTTGTTTCCTATTGTTCCAGGATATTACCAGCCCGCGGGGCCGCTGATCAAGGAGAGCGGTGCTGAAGCAGACAGGGCTCTTGGCAGATATCATCCCGCGCCACATTACCACCCGCCGCATCCATCGGTGAGTGTTATACTTTTTCATCCTTTAAGTTGCAAATATTTTGCAAAATATAGTTTAACAAACTTGACACAGAAGTGTTATATTCATAAGGTCTAAGCAAAACGAGAGATGAAAGTGACAAAGGCAATAAGGCTCTTGTTATTTATCAAATACTCTAAAATTGTAATGTTACGGTACTTCCCTAGTCAAACTAGTTTATACGTGGAAAATTTGGCAGCAGACTACCACATATAACAAATAAATTACCAGTCACAGTTGTTATATGGTTACTAAGTGCCGATCTCTGGGTGGTAAGCATAGATTATTTTCATCACATAAAACAAGATTCTCAACTTTTGCTTATATTTGTGGTAGATGCTGCAGCAGTATGGTCCGCCACCGTACTACCCCGCGGAGCTGTGCTACGGGCGGTACTACCGGCCGCCCGGGCCCTATCACATCCCGCCGCCACAGCCTGATGCTCCGGTAAGACTTCCCTGCAATGCCTTTAGTCAAAACGGAGTAAAGTTTCTTTTTCCTATGAGACTACACCCAATTTAAAACAGGAGCAGAGCTTTTTTTTAATAAATATAACGTCTCTATTTCAAACGCTTATATTGCTAGCTATTACACGTGTGGTAATAGTGGCCACAATTGCAGATGGTGGGAGTAGGCAGCGATCCGTACCCGCCGCCACAATACTACGGCTCACCACCCTGCTACCAACATTCACCACAAAGAATACCATACGTCGGTAAGTTAACCACAGACTTTTTCTATTAATTTCGAATTCGAGAAATATTTTATTAGTATTTTGTACTGACATTGTTAATGTTTTTTGCAGAGTATCGTGGATGCCCGTGCCCATTAAACGCGTGTCCAAAAAACGTCCTTATTGGGCCCGCTACTGGTAAAGCCCCAGCCGGTGGCGGCCCCGCCGACGTCCTCGCTCTTGCGCCGCCCGGGGGCGCCTTCCGCGGGAAGGTGCGGGCCTGCGCCCTGGACTCCGCCGCCGACACGCACGGCAGCGGCAAGGTAACACGCCACACATCTCACCCTGCACATAAACATAAAACAAGTCCTTAAATAACTCAAAAAGTAAAAACGGAAAAAGGACTACTTAAAATGCACACTTACATAAAACATTATCTGTATTTCAGTAGATGAGTTTATTTATTTAGGTCAGTTTTAAAACGAATTGAGGAAAGTATTTATAATTCCAGGATCCACCGTTAGAGCCGGAGCCGCCCGCCGCGGCCGACGCTCCCCATCCTTGTCCGCTGCCGACTATCGGCGGTGCATCGCCCAAACGTGAACTGTTCGACGTTCGCGACAACCTACGCCGCGCCGGGGATATGCCCAACACCGGCGAGGCTCTCGGCCCGCCTTCGCCTGCCAGAGGGTCTGCGGGAGCCTGCGCACCACAGCCACCGCCTGTCGCGCCCAGGCGAGCCAGGCTCGGCAAAGCCATGGCCAGGCGGACTCTGGCGGGCGACGACACGGGCTTTCTCTTGTCAACACCTCAGCAACCGACACCACATAGTGACGTCGATGATGATGTGCTCGCCATCTCTCCCCCGATCTGTGTACCGATAGACCTATCGTCATCAGACGAACGATCGACGCCCCTCGTCGACGTAAAAAAAGAAAACGAAGGCCCCACGTACACACAACCGAGGAAGGTAGAAGCGCAAGCTCTTAGGGAACATAACAGCACGGCGGCGCTTCCCGAAATACCTGATTTGACGGAGGCTAATAAAGCCGTTAAGAGAAGGTACTCGAAGCCCAAACTTGAAATCGATATGAGAGATATACAACTGGATGATACGTGTAAAACTAATGGAATTGGGGAACATGTAAAACTACAGAAAAGAAGAAAAGTATCAGGCGACCACACCGATATTGTTAGGATAGAAACTGTAACAAAGGAAGCTAAAAAGAAAACGACGCCCAGTACCAAGAGAACGCCCAAGTCGCCGCCCGCAGAGAAAAAGAATCTTAAGAGAAAATTAGAGAACATGACTAACGGGCCTAAATCTAAAAAAGCTCTAATCGAAATGATAGATGAAGATCCCCGCCTTAAAAATATCGCAGCTGTGACGGAGGAGCCGTGCATAAAGAAGACAAAAACAAAAAGTGCACTTCTTCTTGACAATTTAATAAGAAAAAACAGTATCGATGGCAAAGGTTACGCGTCCGACAAGGAGCTGAATCCCGCAGAGTTATTTTTGCCACCGAACGAAAACGTTGCACAAAATGTTACGAAGAAAACTTTAAATATTAATAATAACATTGTTGAAAATACCTCACCCACGAACGGCGTGCGGCCGAAAACGATAGCCGCCGTGAGCCAACTCATAGAAAAGAAACTAGCGTATAAGAACGCTTGCAAGATTGACTCAAAAATCACGCACAACTTAAAATCAGTATTAAAAACGCCCACCGATACTTCTGACTTAACGGAAGACCATACAAGTAAGGTCCCATTTAGCAGCGATGCAACCTCAGACACTAAGGTTATTGATAAATGTGAATCAAAATTAATTGAAGACAAAAGTGAAAAAGACAGTAGCAACGATGGTATCACAAATGGGGATGTAGTCAAGGCTGTGAAAACGTTAAAAATCAATAAGACCAAACCTGCATCAAATCAAATAGAAACAAATCTCAAACCCAAGTGTGACATTACCTGTAGTGTCGATGAATCTCAGTGCAAACCCAGTAAAGTACAGGATCCAGACGAGGGGCCGAAAGATGTCGAGACAACGGTGATAGCAGACAAATTGTTAAAGAAACCTAAATCTACGATAGAAAAATCTAGCGGGGAACTCAAGGGCAAAAACGTCGAAAAGGTCGTTAAATTGCTAGTTTCAAAGAAACAAGCGAAAGCGAAGAAAGTAGATGAACCGCCGCCAAGCCAGAACCAATTGGACCAAATAGAAGAGAAGACGAAAAATGAAAAGACAGGGAAACGATGTAAACTAGGTATGGATAAAGAATCAAGGGGGAAGAGCGTGGAGAAGTTAGCAAAGCTGCTGGTGTCAAAAAAGACCGCTTTGAAAATGGACGAGGCCACATTGCTGGTAGAGGCGGCTTGCGCCTCGCCCACCCCCAGCGCTGCGAGCGAGCCAGGCGAGGCGGGCAAGCTGTGCGTGCAGAGCGCGGCGGGCTGCACGGGCGGAGCGCGCGGCGGCAGGCGGCGGCGCAGCGGGGGGCGGCGCGCCCGCCGGGCCCCCGCACCCCTCGCACCCGACGCGCTGCAGCCGCGCCCCCCGCGCCCACCGCCGCGCTGGAGCAACGGCTGGAACTGGGACGGCGAACATTACGTGTCCAAAGTCTACCTCAACGTAAGTTGACAAGTCAAGGATCGCATCTTGCCTTCGAGACATATGTGATATGACCAAAGTTCGCTCGCTGTATACAGAACGACTCGCGACTGGACCGCACGGCGCGGTGCTGGGCGCGCATGTGGCACGCGAGCGGCGACCGCGTGGCGCGCGGAGACTGCGTGCTACTGCGCGCCTCCCTCGCGCGCGCTCAACCCTTCGTCGCGCGCGTCGCCAGCCTCTGGGAAAACCCCGACGATGGTTAGTATACCGACCTAATTTCATATCCCTGCCACAGGCCATTATATATTTCTGTAAAGTATTTTATGATTTTCTGTATGTGTCTATAATGATGTATGTTCTGCAGGCGAGATGATGGTGTCCCTGGTGTGGTACTACCGGCCGGAGCACACGGAGCGCGGTAGGCAGGACGAGGACGCGCCCGACGAGGTGTTCGCCTCGCGCCACCGCGACGCCAACTCCGTCGCCTGCATCGAGGACAAGTGCTACGTGCTCACATTCAATGAGTACTGCAGGTCGGTGTGCAGCACGCATGCGTTAATCGCGGCATGTTGCCCTTACATCTGACACAATAAAAATTCAAAGCGCAACTATTCCAAAGAAATGGCGCGTAAATTGACATTTGACAGATGTCAGTCTATAAAAGTGTTAACCTAAAACTAAGTTTTGTCATTTACTTTTTAATTTGTGTAACACATTGTTTGCAGAGAACTCAATTAACAAGATATTGTGTGATTATAGATATAGAAAACGGCTAAAAGCATCAGAGGAGGGCATCACGATGGCGCCGTCCATCGTGCCGCCGCTGCCGGCGAGCGAGGTGACGTCGACGCTGGCGCCCAACGACACCAAGCTGCCGCCCTCCGTGTCGCCGGAGCTGGTGCTCTTCTGCCGCAAGATATACGACTTCAGGTCCAAGAAGATACACGTGCCCAACAAATGAGAGCTCGCACAACCACACGTGCTCGCCGCTCACTCGGCTGACGGTTTATTTCACCTCTATACGGATTCGTCTCACGGTTAGGCGACACAATAAATCTTGTCGAAGTAAGAACTTATTAGAAAAGTGAATACCAAAGTCGCTTTTCACATTCGATGGATTGGTTGACGACACGGATGATAAAAAGTTGTATTAAATTCGTGTCGTCGAGTCCACTTTATCGTTGGAGTTTAACGTAATAGATGTATTATTAGTGTCACGATCCCCATCCTCCAATTAGTACAAATACACGTGTAGCTGCCCCCGCGCCAGCTTCACGCCAACTTATATTTGTATGTAAGAGCCGATTGAATCTTATGTTGCCTGTGTCGTGATTTGTCGTAGATAAAATATCCCGTGTGATTAATTTGCTGGATTCCTGATAATGTCGGATTATTATAAACAATTTTATCAATGGATGCCTTTTATAAAATGTAAGTAGTCGTAAGAGTCGTAAAGCATAATGTGAATAGAGATATGTTTGTTTTGCTTTTGGGGTGATCTAAGTCCTTTATCGATTTGTTAGATTGCGAATCGTGTGCTCGGGGACTTATTTTGCGTGACTGATTCTCGTAGTTTTACAGCTGCATAGACACTATAAAGCATTTATATCGATACGATTTCTTTCCTTTTGTTATTGTAGAATCTGTATTAAATTATTTTTTACATAATTTCGTGCATGAGATGTTTGCAGTAACTGTTTTTAATACGTTCGAATAAATAATGTAGTATACTTCAATAAGTGCGTTGATATAAGAACTAGTATAGATCAATGAGATTTAAATCCCAAAGATCAATTTTATATACAAACTTAAAGAGATATTTATCAAAAAATGGGATGATTTCATTTGTATACTGGTTTTAATATCACCTCAATAGTTGTAATATTTGCTGAAGCCCCTGCGTGTTTTAATCATTGGCTAAACCTTATTAAGTTGTCTATTTCTCTATTTTTTGCTTTGAATTTAAATTTGTATAGATGACAACATTTTTCAGACATGGCAGTCAACAAACACCTAACATAATGAACTTTACACGTTGTTTATATTGCATTGGATACTTACCAATATTTTTAAACTTTGTGCTGCCTTTTAAGGAATTGATTTTTCATTGCATTTCGGTCATTACTACAATTTATTGGAAAAAATCAAATGGTTTGATTTCAAAAAATGTTTTTAAAAGAAAGAAGACTGATTTTACGAAAACGGCAACAGATAAGATCAATATGTTTTTTTGGTATATTCAACTGGTTCGTTCAATTCTTAAGTCAACCTTTTTCTAGATTCGCAGTATTTAACATTATTGAAATAACAAGTGGGAACATTGTAACATATTTTAAATGTAATATTAGAGCATAGATTTAAACATAAAAAAACACAGATGTGTTAAAAAGAAAAAAAATCAAATTCAAATTTGATATTTATTTGAATGAAGCATCATCGATTTAGAAATTCATAGGCCGCCGTCTGTTCGAGTTGATATGGGGAAAGACTAACATTTTTTAAGTTTGGTGAATTTTACTAAAGTCTAAATAAATAAATTTACATAGAACATGTGTAAGAAACTTCGTTGCATTTTTGTTTGTGAATAAATTTCAACGAGTTCGGAATATAGCTTCATATTTCGTGTGTGAAATTCTTGTAAAGGGCATTTAAATGATTGTGTTTTACATATATTTATTTTCTATCCTATATTTAGTTCGTGTATGTGATCACGCTGCCTATTGTTTAAGCTATTTTTTTTGTAAATATTCTCATTTTGTTAGTAGTACTTTCTTTGTTATCTTTCCAGTGAGATTATTTTCCTTATTCGAACATATGATGAAAAATCTGTATAATCGTGGTACCAAAATTGGTTTCAATGCATATTTATTAATGAATTTTTATACTGTTTTTACTCAGTATCATATTTGTATACAGGTTTTTGAAATGTTCGAGAAAAATCGAACCTTTTGCAAATGAAGAATGTATAGAATTGTTTTTTTTACGGTAAGCTAAATACTTAATCAGCGATTTGTATACTAACATCAACAAATATGTATTTTAAAATCAAATTTAATTCAATGTTAAAATTTTACGGAATAAAAAATGCTTCGTTATCTGTTTTATTAAGAATTAAGTTTAGATTTCTCAAATAGATGTATTTACTTTGCCAAAAGCATTGATTTAATTTCAAAAACCTGTATAATTTTCATAATGTAAATATTATACGAAAATGTACATCTTTAGACAAATAATCGAATACGAAAAATCGGAGAGACCAAAATTAAAGGACCACAGTGTGTCACTTTTTTTTTGTAAACTTCAAAAAAGTTTTATTTGAAATCTATAGTTGGCCAGTGTTAGTAAAATAAAAATAGATTCCAACAGAAAAATAATTTAAACCACGAAACATTTTCTTCAAAGTCTCACTGGGTGTCTATTCCAAAGCTTATGTTTTCTTTTTATTTCATTGCTTAAAGCCAAAAAATTAGAAGCAAAAATGTCTATTGTCCTGTAAAGATGTAATACCGATCTTCTTCTTTAGGTTAAACCGATGGCGGGGGAATGTGCGTATGCACAGTCGTTGTAACTTTATACTGGTTCCCAAGAGGACAAACTTAAATCAATTATACAAGGTAATCAGTGTAAAAATATATTAGTGAAAAATAGTAAATCATGAAATTTTTAAACAAAAAAATTAAAGGCGATGTTACGAAGGTCATTTGGGACACTTTCCTCCGCCATTATACTCATTATGAATTAATAATAAGAGTTAATGAGTAAATTCCATAATACTATTACTATAAGTGAGTCCCTTGCTTGTAGATGGATTGTTTTAAAGATGTTACCTGGTATTCTGCAGACCTTCTTATAGTCAATCAGTTTTAGAATTAGGTTATTACTAATAAGAAAAAAAATACCTTGTTTTTATTATTTATTTGTTTCAATGGAAATTATATAGGTATATTTTTATTATTGTAACCTACATAGTTACGTTGGCTGTAATTTAATATTGATGTAAAATTAATATATGTATTTTTATTTCAACATTCGTGTTATTTCCACCTTAAAAAACCAAGACTCGGCCCCCTCATGTCTCATACATCAGGTAAGTACTTACTATTAAATTGCACATCTTTACAAATGAGAAAAAATAACAAATAAAATTTAAAAATATTGGATTCATGCTGGCATCACTTTAACGTCACCATTGCTAGCGGAACTACGAAGATCTGATCAGTTGGAGCAAACTTCCTCATGTTGTCTGCCTTTAGTGAAAAATAATTAGTTTTTTTTTTGTGTTTATTGCTGTATACATTTTCCTTTAATTCGTTACAGAAGACATCAACAGACTACACAGGCAAAAAGTCAATTTGTTGAGAACAAGAATTACAGATAAATTTAATAAAGAAATGCTTTTATTTTTGAACATGCCATATATTAAATAAATCCTCGGCTTAATAATCAACTGAAAAGTTCATGCTTATACTAAATGGCATTTAACATATAATAGCACACATCCAAAGCTACAAACAGTACATAAGACTAATAAAACTTGACAAATACATATTTTAAAATAATATTTACATAATGTAGTATTTTGAACTTTATTATTAGTTCAATAAAGTAGTTTACTAAATGTAGACAAATCGTTAACTGTCAATATTATTTCAGCAAAATCGATATAATCAAAACTTTAATGGTTACAATACAATATTGTAATATTATTGTATTAAGATTTAAACTCATTTGTGCATTTCCTATAATTATAATACAGGATAAAATTTAACTTTAATGTCAATTTATCAATTTGAATACTTTGTCTACAAGACTTTAGGCCTTTAGACAAATAGAAAATAAAATACTTCTCAAAAATTCTATTAATAAGGCTGTTTTATTTTAACTAAAATGTGTATTTCTGTTATACTTTAAGATATTTATTCATGAATGTATACAAACATTTTTATATTAATTTGAACAATTTTACTAAATTCTTCTAACATGAAGCTAATTAATACAATTGCTACAAGATTTTTAAGTCACACATTAAAATATAAAAATATATTTTACAGCTGACAATTTGAAAAATTACAAATTTGTAAAAAGCACATATATTTTACACGAGACATAACAAAGCTCACTTCATAACTACTTCTAAATTGCTTTTACATAAACATCTTTATTTGTTATTTTTTAATATTAAACTTACTAGAACTCTAATATGGTTTATAAGATTCAATTTTAGATTTAGCTTTTAGATTTTAGATTTTGTACCAAAATTTATGTTTTTAAATAACAACTACAAACGCACAATATCTTCTATATTTTTAAGCTATGTTTCACCATTAAAAGTAGTATAAATCTTTATATGAATATACTGTACAAGAATGTGATTTTATTGCCCTGTTTATTATAAGCTACAATTTATTTTAAATACAACATGCTAACATCTTAAATACAAATATTAAAGTACAAGCAAAATCTAACATCAACTATACAATAAAAATAAATCAAAATGTAATACTCGATGTAATTACATCAAATATCACATTCCAAAAATCATATCTCAAAAATAATACCCATTATTTATATGGAACAATAATCAAACATGATTATATTATAATGTGATTTAGACATATATACTGCCCATAGGTTATGTATAATACCTAATTTTTGATGTAAAGAGATACATTTCTTAAAAGAGTTTATAAAAGATGTAACTCTTTTCAATAGATAGGTTGTATTTTGGGGTTTTCACTTTCAAAAAATTTATACATAAAACCTTAGTCATTACTCCCATTAACTTTGAAACAACATAGATAACCACATCATTTTGTACAATGGCTTAAATGAGGGTCCATTAGGACAGGCCAACTTATGTAAAATTATCACTACCTCCCATAAACACTTCACACAAAGTTGGTGCCGCCACCAGACAAATAAATGTGAGTGTTTTGGCTGTTTTTATATAAGTTTACCTATGAAGTTGTATAAATCGATTCTGAACCAGTTCAAAAGATCATGAGACTTGAATCATTGAGCTGTGGTTCGACAATTAAATTGGCAGCTCACAGTTGGTAATATACTATCACTATGTAAGACAATGAGCTACCATCTGCCTGGTGAGTCGCAGTTCACAGCTTGAAACATAAATCATAACTCTACGCAGGTACAAATTTTAATAATTCACTCATGTGAACTGAGCTGCAGATCATCAATTTTAAATAAGTAACACATCACTATTGGCAACCTTTAAAAAAAAGACTCAACGATTCTGTCATATTTTCTAAATACTTTTTATTTGCCATTACTTTTATATGAAGAGTATTAGCAGCTAACCATTCAATGACCATATTTTTAATTACATAACTCTTTAAAAGTAAGTCATCTTATATAACAAGTTTCATATTGCTTATATAAAAGTTTATCAAGTAGAGGTAAAGGTACCAATGATACTATATATGAGTTTACAAATTTATGGTATATTTTTAAATAATATAGTATGTAGTAAGTATCTAGATTTTTCCTGAGACGGTATACAGAATTAAAAAATCTTAGTAAGCAGCCAATTCAAATGCTACGACACTTAATTTATCTCTGTCTCAAATTTTACTTCAATGTATTAAGTCATTTGGAGTTACCTGCTAACAGACATCCATCCATCGAGGTTTTCACATTTACAATATTAGTAAGATTGTAGTAGTAACTATTTTAGTCAAAGTATATCAAGTCTACTCTTCATAGAAGCATTTCAATTTAACACACAAAAACTAGATGGTTTTATTATTACCCAGGTGTGGCATTTCTATTAACAGCATATTTGTAATGAATGTGAGATACCTCAGAAACTACAGCAACTGTTGGTTTTACGAGCGGTCTTATAAAATGCTTTACTATGCATTGTCAAACTGTCAGACTTAGCCACTAAATCATCTAGTTTCTCTCCTCTTTCAAGAACAGCCTTAATTGTATCGTGTAAAATGATTTTCGTTTCATCAAGGTCATTTTGTATCTTCGTTAGAGCATCAGCTTCTCTTGGATTCTGGTATTTGGCCAAATACTGAGGTAGAACAGGAAAGTCTATAGTAGTTTCATTACCAGTGGCCCACAAATTTGTGGGCACTTTAGCAGTAAATTCATCCAGAATTTTTGTTATTAATGTGTGAGCTACCCTATTGGGGTACTCGTGGTCCGATATTAAAATCCCAGCGAGGTTATCTGCTCGGACATAAACTTGTAACATGTATTCACCTTCTTTGACTGATTGTCTAGTAGCTTGTTGTGTTCTTTCCACTATAGTTTTACTCACAAACACCATAAATTCTTGTACAGATGAACGTTGAAAGAAACTAAAGCTCTGCAAATCATATGCTGCTTTCAGCACAGTAGCGCTGTTAACTCCTTTGTAGAGAACTCCTAGTGCATACACTCTGACCATTTTGAATTTGGTATTCCTCGACGGAGCGTCGCCCAATTAAATTGATTTATATGATTTTTATTTTAGTTTCTAGTCGTCGTAATAAGTGAAAGTTGTAATTGGTTAAGTTAAATGATTACGAGATTTTAACACATCAAAGATACGTATGAACGTTTTGCTACAATATTTAGCTGGTAACTATAATCACATGCAAAAAGCGCAAAACTTTCGAATCTAGTAGTATTTAGACAAATTATAATGTTGTAAAATACTTGAAACGAAGTTACTAAAGTGATATGACAGGTCAATTCTTTTTTGACTTCTTCAGATGACATGACAATGACATTCTGTTTTTTTCTCCATTTTCAAATCACAGAGTAATTATTATTTGTAACGGTTAGGAAATAAAATTTAAACCTTACAATTAATTCAATGATATTTTTAACATTATACAATGTGTGTTAACAAGGATTTACTGCATTTTCTCTTCACTGAAAATTCACTCAAAACTTTAGATAATGCTGTAATTTTATTAGGAACCCTAGTTATTCTATGAACATAAATTGTCATTTTAGTGTGATGTTTCTGGAGGTGGCCAAACCCAAAAATATTAAGTTTAAAAAAAACTTGTATTAATCTTAAGCAAATTTAACATTTTTAACAATATTGACCGATTGTGGTTATAAATAAGTTGTATACAAGTTTTTTTTAAGTAACAAACGCTATTAATAAATCTAAATTGCTCTAAAACGATGTCAACAATGTCAGAAAATGTAGAAAAAGTAGAATGTGGGATAGATGCACGAAGACGGGTATTAAATCTAGCAGTTTCAACAGTACTTCTAGAAACAGGCTTCGATTCTGCTGATAAAATGTCACTGGAGACTTTAACTGAAATACTACAATGTTGTATGTTTTTCTTTCACATACTTCAATTTTATAGCTTAACAACTATGTTTTAATGATGTTTGCTAATTTTCATTTCACCTGAGTAACCAAGGTTAAACATTGTAATATATTGTTCTTTCAGTTTTCACTGAAATTGGTAACTCAGCAAGAGGGTTTTGTGAATTATCAGGAAGAGTTGAACCTGTGTTAAATGATATAGTAATGGGTTTGATGAATATGGGTATGTTTAAACTAATTCTCTTTTAATCTTGTTATTGACATTTACTTGATTATATTTAATTCTTAACTAAGCTTACTTCAAGTTCTCACTATTTTTGTAGGTATTAGTATCCAGGGTATAGAACAGTATGCAGCAAGACCTAATAGACATGTAGTTCAGCCTCCACAGCAAGCAACTGCCCCTCGGACACCAGCCATGCTGTCAGCAGGGGCTAAAGCTAAGCCTGCACCACATATACCATTTCATTTACCACCACTTCCTGATCCCCATGCATATATAAGAACACCAGTAAGATGACTTTGCTACTTGATTGCTGTATTAAAGTGTTTTAGTATGTAGCTCTTTGAATGTTGAATGATGCTCTGTGGTTCCTGATGTACCAAATAAAATTCTGGATAAGCACTTGATTACATTTGTGAATACTCTTTCCCTTAGCACAACACTTTTAAAGATTTATTATTTAATATTTACTTGCATTACAGACACACAAACAACCGGTAACAGAATATGAGGCAATAAGAGAAAAAGCTGCTACACAAAAGAGAGATATAGAAAGGGCGCTCACAAAATTCTTAGCAAAGACAAGTGAAACACATAATTTGTTTAATACAGAAGATAACCAAGTTTATCCATGTATGTATTTACTTCTATTACATTTGCAATTTATCTTTTAAATCAGCAGTAGTTACACTCAAATATTATGTCAAAACATATGCCTAAACAGAAATGTGTTTTACGGTACCTTAAATTTCTGCATAATCAATAAAAAAAAGGAAATTACTTAATTACTAGAATATAGAAATATTTATTGACACAAAATAATGATTAAATTTGTGTAGAAATTTAGTAAAACAAACAATCATTTGTTACAGTGATAGCGTGTAAGCCCACATTTCCTGCATATTTACCTTGTCTTTTACCAACTGACCAGGTATTTGACTTTGATGAATTAGAATATCACTTCCAAGTTGCTAATAGAACGGAGGATATGCCCACTGAGAAAAAAGGTAAGCGAGTTATCAAATTGCCAAAAAAATAATCCTAAAACACTTGTACTTTGTAGTAATACTTAGGTATATGGCCAACCTGTGAGTCCAGGGGACTGCAATATTTTTCTCGCTTTTAGAGATTTGTTGCTTACCCAATGGGGTTGTCTGTCAGACTGAAAAATGCCTTTTTTTATTTTGTTTTCTGACTAACCCAGGTTTGACTTTGTTTATTCAATTACAGATCAATCAGATAATGAAGGTGATAATGGTGGTGACAATGACAATGCAAACAATTCTCAATCCGAAAACCAGGACAATGCTGCACCATCAAGTCCGGAAAGAAGTAAAACTTGAGAATAAGTCATAGATATATTTTTTAATATAAATAAAATGATATTTTTAAATGCTAAGTATTCACTATCCTATAACATTGATACAGAAAAAGGCATCTTCAACATTTATGAAATTATATTCAAATAAGTATTCATTAAAAAATGTAAGTAAAGTGAGAGTAACATATTTTTTGGCCCAAATTTTGTCATATGTAATAACTAAATTGAAGATAGAAATTATTTCTAATTATTGTAGAACTACCTTCTCTTGTTTCCACCTACTTCAACTGTATAGGTTACAAAACATAGCAAAATGAAAATAACAGTGTAGACAAAATTATACCATTTAATCTTAAAAATGTGAGAATTACTTTAATGAAGATGAATTAATAACGGGGAGAACTTCAATTCCATCTCTCTTCACAACAGTCACCTGGAAGTTGGGCAGGCTAACAAATAAACGCTTGTGTACCTCCTGGACACACTTCTGGAGTATTTCATATGCCTCCTTTTCAGTTAAATCTGTAAACATCATAATTCTGTTTGACATTCATAAAATTGATTAATAATTTTCATTCTATCACTCCCATTTACAATCTTATTTATTTATTTAATAACTAGATTATTTTAAATAATTACCTTTTTTATAGTATCGATCCATTACACTCAAACTTAAGTAACCACCAAAGCCATGAGCTGCAAATGGAACTTTAATGCTGGATGCTAAATAATCCATAAAATACAATTCAGGGCCATTTTCCATGTCATATCCACCCATTAAGATGTTAACAAAGTATGGTGACTGAAATAAAAGAGGAAGAATAAAAAGTTACATATTGTATTAATGTATTCCGAACTTTTATTTTCTTGACGCAACTTAGGACACTTTTGACACCACAATTTTTTGTAGATAAAATTAGAAATTTGAATTTTTAACTATAACTTACACTGCTTCTGAGGTACTCGGCTAAGTTACGACGAGTAAAATTCGCTGCAGCTGTCGGTCCAAGCTCGTATCCATTGCGCATCTTATATAGTTGAATGTTCTTTGCAATATATTCTGCAAATTGTGTTGTGTCGCCGGAATCTCCTACTACGCCCATCACAAGCTTGTCCGATATTTTATAAATCTTTTCTTCATCTATGAAAAGAAAGTATATTGTCAAATAAAATTGTAAAAAAGGGACATGAAGAAAAACCGAAGTCGCTAACTCACCATCTTTCATTACCATAATACTATGGCTATTTGTTTGATCCGCAGCTATCATAACAAAATCGTTGCATTGGATTCCCAAGAGACATTGTAAATTGATATTAGACATATTTAAAACTAATATTCTTGAAAAACCGCTACAAACAATATAAATGAATAACCTCGACAAGTAAAACTCGAAAGTTGTCAAATCATTTGTTTTTAGGGTTGCAATTTGCAACGCAAATAAAAGGTTGATAAACGCTTAAAGTATTATTTAGTAACTATATAGTAATCGAAGAAAAGTTTCTAAAAGAATTTCTAATTATCAAAGTTATAAATTGTTCAAAATTGTACTTCAAGAAAAAAAATCAAGGTAAAAAAATCATTAATTTGGTTGATACTAGATAATAAATACATAAATTTCGGAAATTTAATATCTGGCAACTATGAAGAGCAGATATTGTTGTCAATTGTCATTGATTGATTGACATTGACTTTTCAGAAAAAGAAACAAGAGGAGACGAATGCAATAAAATTTTATAAAAATATCTTATTAGGAAATTGTCACAAAAAAAAATGTTCAAAAAAGTTGCTATTGGTATATCTGGAGGAGTCGATAGTGCAGTTGCGGCTCTTTTTTTAAAACGTTTAGGTTAGCTGTCTACATGTTACAAAATATATTTTTTACGACAAAATATGACTTACAAAATTAATATTTTTTTCAATTTCTAGGATGCCATGTTGAAGGGGTGTTTATGAGAAACTGGGATCATAATTATGAAGCAGGTTTTTGTTCAGATGAGAAAGATTTCGAAGATGCTTCATTTGTTTGCCGTAAGCTCGATATTCCTTTACATAAAGTGCATTTTATCAAAGAGTATTGGAATGAGGTGTTCACGGTATTGCTGAAGGAATATGAGACAGGTTTAACACCAAACCCAGACATATTGTGCAACAGATATATTAAGTTTGATAGCTTTTTTGAACATTGCAGGAACAATTTAGGAATTGATGCTATAGCTACTGGTCATTATGCAAACACTTCATTCGGACCTTATTTAGAATTTTACAAAGAAAATGAAGGTAATAATTCTGTAGACTGAGATAATTTCATAAAATTTTGTAATTGCAAAAACTCACAATGTGGATTAATTATTACTATAAATATCTATGTTGGTTCTAGGTGTGCGACTATTACAGCCTAGAGACAAACATAAGGACCAAACTTTCTTTTTATCACAAGTGAAGCAATTTGCTCTAAGAAAGTGTATGTTCCCAATAGCAAACTTATTGAAAACAACAGTCAGGGATATAGCTAGAGATGAAGGTTTAATTCAAGTTGCTAACAAAAGGGACAGCACTGGGATATGCTTCATAGGAAAGCGAAGATTTCAGGAGTTCATTGAAGATGTTTGTATATATTCTGAATTTGTAACATTATATTATTATTCAAAGTATAATTTGTATTTTGAGAGTTTTTTGTATTTTTCAGTATATAGAAACAAAAAAGGGCCTCTTTATAGACATTGATACAGGACAACCTGTGGGAGAACACAGTGGGATACATAAATGGACAGTTGGGCAAAAGTGCTGTTTGGCTAATTATAAACATCCATATTTTGTATTTAAGAAAGATTTAAATACAAACAATATTTATGTGGTATGTTAAATATTGAACATTATTTCTTTTGATAGCTTTGGTGCATATTTATGAGTTAAATATTGATTGTTATTTTTAGGTGGCTGGAACTGAACATTCAGCATTATGGAATAATTTATGTTTTACAACAGAGCCTCATTGGATACATAGTGAACCTGAGGAGTTGCAGCACAATAGTGTATTACACTGTTATTTTAGATTTCAACATACAAAGCCCTTAGTAAGATGCAGAGTTACTAAAAATTCTGAAGGATTGACCATTTTTTTGGATAAACGTCTAAGAGCACTTACAGAGGGACAGTTTGGCGTTCTTTATAAAAATGATGAATGCCTTGGCAGTGCAAAAATAAAAAATGTTTGTCATAATATACTATACTAAATAATAAAAATAAATTATTATTGTTGTTTTAGTTTGAATAAAATTATTAGTTTCTTTTTACACTAGTACAGGATAGACTAATAATAAAGGCAAATCGCTCACATCAGTGTTTCTGAGTGACAAAAACATATCTGCTTTAACAATTAGTTTTTTACTTATAGCTGGCAACGCTTGCTAGTGTCAAGTTGGTTCTTGTCAAAACCGCTTTCATGTGTCAAATAAAATCAATAATTTGAACATTTTGTTGCTTGGAAATTTATTTTAATGAGTTTTATGTTACAAGTACTCTAAATTTAAATTAGATTGAGTTTTATCCGAAGAAAATTGGATGTAGCGTCAAATGTCGATACCACCCCTGAATTACACCATTCCACCTCCTTCCCTCAATGTACCTCCACCGGTATCTTCTCCGGTGGTACCGGTTGTTTCTCCAGTACCACCACCTCAGTATTACAACCATCTTCCGCCATACGAAGCCAATATATCACAAAACGTACAGCATTATTTAAACATGCCATCAGGATTACCACCTTTGAATGTCCCTCCTCCTGTTCCTTACGGTCCATCCACCGAGGTGTCCGTCTCTTTCCCCGTTCCTACCAATCCTTCAAGCTATTCTTACCGTCAACCTGGTTATGGCAGCCATGACAGGAGTGCTTATAGTAAATACAAAACTGAAACAATTGTTCGATCATCAAATGATTATGATTCAGCAGAAAGACAATCTGGTTCTTCTAAAGATCTTTCAAAAGAGATACCACCTAGTTCCAGATCAAGATATTCCCGACATGAATCAAGTTATGAAAGAGAAAGATGTTACGAAAGGGAGAGAAAACGAGACAGAGACCATAGTTCAGAAAGAAGAAAAGATAGAGAATACAAAGAGGCAAAATATAGGGAACATAGGAGATCTAGAAGTCCATCAAGATACTATGATCGTTATAGAGATAGGGAAAGATACATTGACCGTGAGCGTGATAGAAGACATGACTATAAAAGGTCACATAGTCCATATCATAGAGACTACAGAAGCCACAGTCGAAGCATTGATTCCCGAGATAGTAGACGGGATAGAAGATCACCAAGTAGACATAGTGAGAGATCATCTAGGAGGGAATCCCATTCCCATAGCAGAGCTAGAGAAAGGTCACCTAGTTACTATCGTGAGTCAATCCCGAAAAGACCTCTAACTGACCGTGAAAAGATCTTAGAAGACTACAGGTAAGGATTACTATTTAATTCTAGTTCACTTCTTTTTTTTTAAACAATAAAAATGTTTTAACTTTAAATTAATAATACATAGGAAATACTATTATATGTTTTTCTTTTAATTTTGTTCCAGGAAGAACTATTGTGAGACATCAGGAGAGTTCATACGAAAAATGGAACAGTGGTCTAGGGAACATCATTCTGATGAAGAAGAGGTATTGAATTTTTCTTATTAACTCTTGGTTAATTGCTTATAATAGTCAGTAGTTTAGGAAAACATTTGTCATCAATATTGTATTTTTAACCATAGATTAGTTAACATTAAGAATAATTATAACGAAAAAATTCATGTTTTAGCATTCGCACATTTTGTTTGATGTGGCTTCACTATTAACCACTAATTTGTCTTTTATACGGTATCTTTTAGACATCAAAAATGTGGTACCGTAGTTCACCAGCTGAGCTGTACTACAAACCAACACCAGATGGAGTAGGTGTCATGCAAACAAGTAAATTGGAGAAACGCTGCAGTACATTCTTTAAAGAATTAATAGAAAGGGGAAGGAAGGCACGACCTGAAGTGGATGAATTGCCTCCATTAAGGCCATCACGAGGGAAGGCTTGTAAACATAGAAGTGAGTTTAAACCTTACTTTATTTACAAGATTGGTGGTACCTTATTTCTACCTGGTACCTTTTAAATTTGATAATTTGTCTTCCATGTTAGGATCTAACAAGGTAAATTTTTTTTGAGCATATTTGCATTTAAAATATCTTTTATTTATTTTTCCTAGTGGATGACAAAAGTTCATCATCGTCAGACAGTGATGAATGCATGGATGAAGATGGTCTGCAGGGCTATTCTGATAGAATCATGATGGAGCTTCAGAGAAAACAGAGCCATCCGAGACGTCTTCATCCTGAAATGTGGTATGTTGATTGCACAATTTATAACTAGACTTTACTTATTTTCGAAATATATAAACTGGGTTAACTGATTTTTTTTTTAATTTTACTGTATAGAAATATATATTGAATACAATCTATAGGAAAAAGGCAAAAAGTGAAATTATAATAATCAAAATTTAGACAAAGTCAGAATTATCCTTTCTTTCTATTAGAAATATATTAAACTATTATAGAAAAAATAAAATTTATTCTTTTTGTTTTTTGTTAGCTTTTCTTTTAGACACAAAACAGAATTTTTTTTATTGAACTTTTATGTTTATATTCCAAATACTTTTTATTTCGGTTAGCTTTTATCAATATTAAAGCTGGTTGCTCTACTGCCTTTGTTATCTTGTTTCTTTTATATCTTTTTCCATAGGTTTAACAACACAGGTGAGATGAATGGTGGGCCGCTGTGTCGATGCAGTGCGCGTGCACGTCGCTACGGCATGAGGCACGGTGTGTACGCTGGTGAGGAGGCTTACCCGAAGTGTAGACCTACTGAGAGTAACATTGATAAATTGTACCATTATAGGTAAGTGAAGTAAATATAGTATTGTGATTTTGTGCGGGTGCAGGCATCTGTTTGGGGTAAAAATCCAATAGCGGTTTTTAACCGACTTCAAAAAGGAGGTTATAATTTTTTTTATGTCTGTAATTTAATCAAATTTTCTCATTATAGTAATTCTAGTAATGTATTAGGCAAGCCAAGCTTAAAATAACTTAAACCGATAATTGAATTTTGCATCCATTGACATTTATGTTACTAATTGAAAAATAAAATTTCAAACGCAGTAAATTTTGTGATAGGTCTATTTCCATCTGATATTACAGAAAAAAGTTACAATTATGATTTTTTTTTAATTCAAGGATAACAGTGTCACCACCAACTAACTTCTTAATCAAAGCCCCAACGATCATAGCGCATGATGAACATGAGTTCCTCTTCTCCGGCTTTTCAATGTTCTCACACTACAAGCTCTCGAAACTACCTACATGCAAGGTGATAAGGTTCAATATTGAATACACCATATTGTATGTAGAGGAACCTGCGCCTCAAAACTTCTCAATACAGGAATTGGATCTATTTGGTATGTACTATAATATTTTTACAATGCTCAGCTCCAAGAAGTAATTAAATTAGGAGTACTTTCTACTTTATGTTTAACTAGCTGTCCCCCACGAATCCGTCCGCGTGGAATTAAAAAAAAAGCAATCAGTAGCCTATATGTTTTTCCAGACAATGTTCTACATGTATGCCAAATTTCAGCAAGATCCATGCAGCTATTTTGGACATACTTTCCAAGAAACATCCATCCATCCAAAAATTTGAATTTATAATATTAACAATTTTTTTTATCTGTGTACTTTATATGATTGAATATTTTCAGAGGAATATCTATTCTACGAGTTGTTAGAACTAGTGGATTTGGATCTTGGCAAGGCGACTGAAACAACATGTTCCCAGTTTCATTTCATGCCACGGTTTGTACGGTACTTACCGGAGGGAGGATGTGAGGTATTAAAACTCTTTTAAAATCTTTTAAACTCTTTTAAATGTTTAATTTAGCAGTAATTAATGTAATTATAGGTATTATCGATGTGTGAAGTACTAAAATACTTAATAGACGAGAGTGGCCTGCTGATACCACCTGACACATTGGAAGAGGTCCATTCTATGGATCATTACAAGTGGCAAAAGTTTGTTGACAGGATTAAAGGTATGTGATATTTATATATGTACTACGTATTACTCGCAACTCCGTCCGCATTTTTCTTCTTCTACTCTCGGTATCCCACTTTGGCTACGAGTGCTGACTTAATTTATGTATTTTAGGCTCTTTGGCTTATGGTATTGAATACTGAATAATATTTTTTTTCATTTTACATTTAATTTTTTGTTCCTAGGAATGATAGTGACGTACCCGGGTAAGAAGCCGTGTTCAGTTCGCGTGGACCAGCTGGACCGCAGCCCTCCGGTCAGTAAGGAGATGAAAGATCCCAGCGCTATCAAGAAGTTTTACCCCGAAATAGTTCATTTTGGCATCCGGCCACCACAGCTCAGCTATGCTGGCAATCCTGAGTAAGTTTGCTCATAAAATAATATCTACAAGCATTTATTTATTAAATAAAATAATTTTATTTCTTTTATCCAGGTTTCAGTATCAAATAAAAACGGTTTTTCCTAAAAGTTGTACAAAAATAACGCTATTTTGTCATAAAAAAACATACTAACTTTACCCTGATTATGTTTGAGGCAAAAATTCATATTTATTGACACCTCACTGGTTAAAATTAGTTTTGTTGTTAATGCACATGTGGTGCAAGTTTTAGTAGATTTTTTTGTTTCTCCCTCTAGATATCAAAAGGCGTGGCGTTATTACGTGAAGTACCGTCATCTGATCGCCAACATGGCGAAGCCATCGTACAAGGAGCGGCAGAAGTTGGCCACCAAGGAGGCCAAGCTGCAGGAGATGCGCACTCAGACCAAGATGAAGAGAGATGTCACAGTTGCCATCTCATCCGAGGGTTTCCATACAACCGGACTCATGTGCGATGTCGTACAAGTAAGTCTTGTGCTAATTATTCATAATATATTAATTTTAAGTTAGGTTTTGTTTCTTGGCTTTACCTTTTACGACTAATCTTTGCAAACATCAATAGAAAATACTACCTTACCGTAGCTATTACGGGCTTTTTACATGTTTTAAACGCGTAATCAACGCAATAAGACGCTTTTAAGCAAATCTTTTAATGTTTTATTTCAGCATGCAATGTTAATCCCAGTGCTAGTAAGACATCTTCGGTTCCACAAATCGTTGGATAGTTTGGAGAAGAAGATAGGCTACGTGTTCAAGAAACGTCTCCTGCTGCAGACTGCCTTCACACATCCATCGTACAGAGAGAACTTTGGCACCAATCCTGATCATGCGAGGAACAGTCTCACTAACTGTGGGATACGACAGCCCGAGTATGGAGATAGGAGGATACATTATACTAGGAAAAAGGGTAAGTTTTAAACTAAACTTATTTGATTATATACAAATTACAAAACTATCTTTTTACTCCCTTCTTCTTCATCATCATAATCAGTCTAAATCCATCCACTGATTACTCCTTTCTTAATATTTTAATAATATGAATGCAAATGTTTAGATGTATGGATGGATGTTTGTTAGAAGGCATCTGCAGAACGGCTCAATGGATCTTGATGAAATGAGGCATAGATGAAGAACATAGTTTGGAAGAACACATAGTGTACTAATTCAGTTTTTTTTTAAATTCCGCGTGGACGGAGTCGCAGACTACACTAGTAAATTATAATTTTCCTCGCAGGTATTGTGACACTGATAAACATAATGTCGAGGTTCGGCAAGCGCAGCGAGACAGAGTCAGAGATCAAGCACAACGAGCGGCTGGAGTTCCTCGGGGACGCGGTGGTGGAGTTCCTCTCCTCCATACATCTGTTCCGCATGTTCCCCGGACTGGCGGAGGGAGGCCTGGCCACGTACAGGGCCTCCATTGTACAGAATCAACATTTAGCGCAATTGGCTAAGGTCAGTAGGCTGGCGGCTACGTAAGCTCTTTTAACATGTACTTTTTTGACTTGGGGGGGTTAGGTTAGGTTTACAGGTTTTGGTTAATAGGTTTATGTGACACTGTGTAATTCGCAAACCAGATGCAGGCACTCACTCAAAATAACTGAAGCGCTGTGTCTTGTGAGGTATTGATGAATTATTATTATGGACACATATATAATTAATATATAATAAAATTCTTAGATTAATTTGAAATTATTTTATTAGTAATGTGATAATTGGTAACAAATATATTGTGTACAGAACATAGAGCTGGAGCAGTACATGCTGTACGCGCACGGGTCCGACCTGTGCCGCGAGC